TAGACAGCGCTTCGAAAAAGCACTGGCTAATGTGGTCCTTTACCAGCGCTTTTTTAAGCGCTTTCTAAAGCAACCCTTTTAGCAGCGCTTTTAAGATATTTTTTTATTATAATTTATATGACTTTAGACAGCGTTTAGGAGAAACGTTGGCTAATATGGTCCTTTACCAACGCTTTTTTTAAGCGCTTTCTAAAGCAACCCTTTTAGCAGTGCTTTTAAGAAAAAAAATTTAAAATTTATATGACTTTAGACAGCGCTTAGGAGAAGCGCTGGCTAATGTGGTCCTTTACCAATGCTTTTTTTAAACGCTTTTTAAAGCAACCCTTTTAGCATCGCTTTTAAGATTTTTTTTTTTAAATTTATTTGATTTTAGACAGAGCTTAGGAGAAGCGCTGGCTAATGTGGTCCTTTACCAGCGCTTCTTTTAAGCGCTTTCTAAAGCAACCCTTTTAGCAAAGCGCTGTCTAAGGTCGGCCTTTTAACAGCGCTTTTATTCATTTTTGTATACAGTTTCTGTGTTTTATTTTTTAATTTACCTATAACAGCATTTTTGTATAAAAACGTTGTCTAAAAACCTTTTTAACGTAGTGAATATTGATCATCTTTTGTTGCATGTGTTGTCAATGTGTCATAAATAATTTTTTAGTATGGCGGCCATACACTTTATAAACATATGTATATGAAATGTGATGTTGTATAATAATAACTAATAATACTAATAATAAAACATGTATCTTTGTGTATTATAAAGTTTATTATATGTGATACATATTATGTAATATTCTTGTTACATTGTTGTGTGTGATTACTGGATGTTATGGCTATAATCACAATATAGCAAGTATGAATAATGTGTAACATGTATGCGGGTCACTACATTGTTGTGGTAATAGTAGTTGCATTATGTTATGTTGTGTGGTTCAAAATTAGGTTGGATGTAGTTGTGTATTCACTGAATTATTAATAATCGAATGAATTTCATGGAAAAGAATGAATTTTAACCTATGGTCTCAATTAGGTTAAAAAGATTTGAAATATAGTTTAGATTATAAGAATGATTTAGGTGGTGATGCATGGACGTAATCGTACCACATTGTGTACCACAAATAAGTAGTCGTTTAATAATGGATTAACATGTCTTGTATGGATCATGAGAGAATATAATGAGATCGATGAATGTGATTACTTAGTGGTTGATGAGTTTAATCACGTTGAATGTTAAAAATCAATCATGTATTCGGAATTTTTCTTTGATCGTGCTCTTCCTATTTGAGATGCTTATGTAAAGTAGAAAATGGGGGTGTGACACCAATGATTCGTGCCTCAAAACGGGTTAGATCCCGAAGAAGTGGATTAGAGACTCATAGAGGAGAGGTGGACACCTAAGTGGGTTCGAGTCCCATACGATGAAAGATACTCAAAGTGGGTTCGAGTTTCATACTACTGACAGTTCTTGAAGTGGGTTTGAGTGTCATGTAGAATCTGATATCCATATGAAAGTTGAATCATATGAGCATCTATGAACTAAGCCTTGCCCTAGACGTAGGTCCAGTCGGGGATCGATGTTTCGTGAATTTGAATTGTGATTTATTGAGTTATGTGAACTCAAGTGACATGTTTCCATACATTCTGAATATCCCTTAGTTGCTCAAGTCTTTGTTACATTGTGTATGTGATGCATAAGTAACAGAAGGTGAATACTTGAGTTAGAAATCAAATAGAAACCCTGTAGAATCGAGTGGACCCATGGGATAGGGAAACTCACTGAGATTATCATCTCACTCCATTTTTATTATTGTTTTCCAGGTAATTCTTTACAGGTTAAAGGCAAGAGGAAGCTCGTCGGATGATGTTTCGAAGACTTGAGTTCAAAATCTTCCGCTGTGAATTTTGTACAATTATAAATATTATACATAGATCTTAGAATCTTTATTTAGACACTATTGTAAGACATGTGCTATATGTTATATTTTATTCTATAGACATGTATATACAGATTCCGTTAGATACTTATCTTGTATCGGTATCAAAAAGTAAGACTTACATAATAGTATTCATGTGTTAAGAGAGGATTTCCCTCTCAAACACCACTAGTAATAAAGTAAAACATAATTACACAAGATAAATGAAAGAAAAAAAAAAGAAAACGAGATACTTATTTGAATAAAAATATATAGCATCTACAATAGGATACTTATTTGAATACTATATACACATTGTTACTTGTTTGCCAATGCATAATAATTGTGTTTTTTTTCTTCATTTTAATAATGTTAGCAAAATTTCTTCGATTACATTCTCTCTGATTTCCCTTCAAAATAATAGTTTCAGGTTATATATGGGCTTATTATATTAACAATATTTACACCTCTTTTTTTGTTTGAGCAATAATTCATCAATTTTATTCTCTAAAACCGACTTAATACCCGTTCAAAATTAATTTCTCCTAGTGAGAAAACTATTTTGATCAGTAACTTTATATTTTCGTTAATATTCAATATTTTTATTTTCGTTAATATTCAATATTTTAATCAGTAATTTCATGTTTCTGTTAATATTCAATATTTTCATAAGTAATTTTATGTTTCTGTTAATATTGAATATTTTGATCAGTAATTTTATGTTGCCGTTAGTATTCAATATTTTGATCAATAACTTCATGTTTCCGTTAATATTAAATTTTTTTAATAAATAACTTTATGTTCTCGTTAATATTTAATATTTTGATTAGTAGTTTCATATTCAAGTTAATATAACTTCATGTTCCCGTTAATATTCAATAGTTTGATCAATAACTTCATATTTTCGTTAATATTTAATATTTTAATCAATAACTTCGTGTACATATTAATATTCAATAATTTAATAATAACTTTATGATCCCTAAATTCATGTTTTTTTTATTATTCAAAAAGAAAATAATTAAGTTATATTTTACAATTTTTTTCACATTCATTTAAATTTAACTAATTTTATTTTCAAATTTTATGATAATATAGCAAGACTATAAGAAAAAAAATAAAGTGTTTATATAAATAGTAATCTCAATTTTCATATGATACATATGTAAGAAATAAAAACAAAATTATTTTATTAAAATAATTTTTACTTTTATAATCAATAATACAATGTATTTTCAACTAACAGAAACATAGAGGTGGCAGGGGAGAGAAAATAAAATGCTATTATATTTGATGAAATCCAACTTTTCATTATTTCACGTGTAAGTTCACTCAAAAAATAAGGTGCAAATGGAATCTTAGGCATATACAAAACTCCTACAGCATAATCAGAAGTAGTTAGTCTCTCTTTTAGTAGTTTCATAATTTATATCAACATTATGACCAGCATCAAAGAATCATGGGAAATGGTTTTTAGGTCGTAGCGAGTTCGCATTCAACCTTCTTCCAAAAACATTAAGCTTAAGTTACAAGTTACAACACACAAAGCAATATTAAAACTAAAGAACTATGGAAGGAGAGTTAAGAGAAGGCACAATTTGTACTACAAAATCATCCGGATGAAGAGATAGTTCACTGATATGGATTTGATTCTACAGGAAAATTAGTTTGAAATGGATAGTTATGGCAATGTGATGTAGTAAATATTCGAATGTTGTAAAAGTTATGTCATGAATGAAAGTTGAAACTGAAGATAATCATTAATCATTAATAGACCAGATGATGGTCATTCTAAATTTGTTTTACATGGGAACATGAAACAGTACAAAAGAATTAAGAACAGTTGAACATGAAACGGTAATATCAAGCAGTTAAGATGCAACTTGAGGGATTGTATCATTAGAGCTACAAAAGGCATAGTAAAAACATAGGCATGTTAATTATCAGCTGATTGGCTTAGTTGTGGGAATAAAAAATGAGAAGGTAATTAGAAGGTATAAATAAGGATGACAAATAGGTAAAAATGTATAGGGGAAAGGAAATAACTGATGTAAGGTACACACACTATAGTTGGGATGTTTTGATCATTTTGAACTGTGGAACATGAACTCGATGTGAATCTTTCGAGGTTTGCTACATGAATTAGAAAAATGTGTGTTGGACACGAAATTCAGAATTAGTAAAGGTTAATATCAGACAGTTTATATTGTTAACGAAATAAGTGATCTGAAGAAGCACTAATGTTACCTCATTGGGGTTAAAGTAAGTCTTGATAGTTTTCATGCCATCTTCTTCATCATCATTAAGAATTATAACATAGCATTGCTGGTATAGTGTTTGATACTTGCTGAAATTTGAATGTTAACTTGATCGCCGGTTTCTTCAACTTTGTAAGCTATGTAAAGTTATGATTCGTGTATCGGAACATCAACAATTACAAATGGTTCCGAAAGAAATTGCTTTGAGAGCTATGGTTGCAAACAAAGAGTATGCTCAGCATTGACGAAAGTGTACACAAGACACACGTCAGAGACTTATCACACTTCAACCTGCATTAACAAAGATTAAAATCCAATTAATGAGAAGTTACAGAAGCTTAAAGGCACACTAATTAGTCCTTTATTATATATGTTTTCTGACACTAAATTTTTACAGCCCAAACAACTATATGAAACGTGTATTTTTAATTGTGGTGAAAATTAACAACCAAAACTTACAGCTCACAATTCAGATCATTGCAATAAGTAACACATTTATTTTAGATGACATTGGCGCAAAGGGTGGTGCAACTCTCACCGTTGTTCCCACCATATCTACCTTACCATGCATTGAGTCAAGTCACCAGCAGTCGCGGCTAAAACGACGTGCAAACACTAACCATTTTCTGTGTTGAAACCCGACGAAGACCTATATGTGATATATAGAATAAGTCAGTAACAATCTGAAGACATTTTTTAACTAATATTTTTTAACTAATCATTAGCAAGTTACCTCTTTGGCATTGATTCAGCCTAAAAAAACCTTGTTGTGGCAGAACTTCACACTATGGTTCATTCACTTTTTTTAGAATCTTGTGCTTCTGTAGAGTTATTTTCCCATCTACTTTTTCTTGTTTTGATCGTATGCAATTCCTTGAGGTCTTTGATCTCGGATAAGTTTCAATAACCCTTCCTTTCTGACTGTAAATTAAATAAATTAAATAAATTAAATAAATAAACATAGCTACATAAAAATGCACAAACGACCAAGAAATGAGAAAATAATAACTAGCATCTACTATCACGCAATACCAAACTCACACCGCCAATCCAAACACACTAATAATTTGACATGAATGACACCATCATCCTTGTAACGAAAAGGGGGAAACAAAAACTATGGAACTCACATCCTCTCAGCATTAGGGTCATATTTTGCAAACTGGCTGGTTATTTCACGACTATAAACCATTCTTTCTGAAAATTTATTTTTTTAAATTCCAAATACAAAAGTTAAATAAAAAATGAAATCACCAGAAAACACAATGAAATGGAGAAGCATACTGTTGAGCCAATCAACAGCTTTGGAAGCTTCATCAGCATACTTGTAACGCACAAAAGCGAAACCCCTCGACTCACCAGTTCTAAAAATAAAAAATTTCAATTTCAATAAGCTAAAATTATGGATTTGATGAATTGGTAAATTGGGGGAAATCAGAAAAAGAAATACCTTTGATCTTTGGGATGAAGATGTCAACGACCTTTCCGTATTTATCAAAGAGAGGAAATAGGTCTTCGCGGCGGTTGTACCTTGAGGGGAGGATGAGGGTTGAAACACTTGAAGCGTGACTATTGGGATGCTTGAAGGAAAAACCGTTTTGAATGGAATTTGATGGTTGAAATGTATTTGAAACCATGATGGTTGGTTGTAACCGCCGGTAGTGGAAGATTGAAATGAGAAAAGAATTAAAGAGCAGTGTGTGTTTGTAACCGCCATGTTTTGGAGGCAAATGAGAAGTGGAGCACGTATGTATCGGTTTTGGGAAAAAATGATAGATTCGAATTCAAACAACAAAGTAGTTGTGATATCAGGAAGCCGTGTTGCAACATATAAGAAAATCAGGTATGAGTTTTCTTATATAATATATTTTGTTCTACCTCACTATTACAAATAACACATTTTATAATAAAGTTTTCACGTAACACAAAAAATAACCGAGGTATAAACTTTGAGGGCACCATTTTTTTTTAAAATTACAATCTATTCCGTCAGTTCTGAAAAAATCCAAGGGGAAAACTAACTAAGATACATATTTCGAATTCCAATAACTACAGATTATCTTTTATTTCTTAAATAATGTAGACATTCTTTTTTCATTTAAATATTAAGTCATCTATTTCTTCAGTTAATCTACCAACCAAGGAGAAATATTACTCATTTTTTCCTATAAAGCATTCGTTCATTTAGTGTTTTTCTAACCTATCTCATATGATGTCGCTTAAACTTGTAAACATAATTCTCTTAGATGGACTGCAAGGAAAGAAATATTTAAGATTTATTAATTAGATAAGAAATATTTCAAGGTTGTGTGTTGTTGTTATTGTTGTTGTTGCTGTTGTCGTTGTTGTTTACTCACTACAAGAAAAGTTTCCCCTAACGACTTGAAGTTGTGACGTGATTATCACGTGGCTAAAAAAAGGTTGTTGCAACGTGATAATCACGTCACTAAAACTTTTAATATTAAAAAAATAAAAATAATGTTAACATGGTGGGACTCAGTGTTTTTTTTAAATAAAAATATTTGCGACGTGGGATTCACGTCACAACTAAAAAGTTAATATATAAAAAGGCTCTAACGTTCTGACGAAGGGATTTTTGAAAATTTTAAAAAATTTAGTTATGACGTGATTATCACGTCACAACATTTGAGGGGGAAAATATCTGACTTAGAATTGACTTAGTTTAGAGTTGTGTAGATTGGGCGAATAATATTTTTGATCGCTTGGTGTGTTGTGACGTGAATCTCACGTGACAAGGTTGCAACGTGATTTTCACTTCGCTACGTGGCGTATATACTTAACAATCTCGTCCACAGATCCATATTTTTCCGCTTTTGTTTCTTCTTTGTTTCATTCTCTCTTTCCTTCATTGTTCCACACCTCCACCATAAATCTTCCCCAAATCTTTTCAAAATCTGTAATTTTATTGATATAGATAATTGTTTTATATAATTTAATTTCAATATATTTATATAATTTTGTTTATTGTTTATTATATTTCTTAATTAAAATTTTGGTTTAATTTTTTTTGTCAAAATTGAAGAATATTGAAGAGTTTAGAAAAAGATCGAAGAAGAAGATTGATTGAAGAAGACGTATTTATGCAATTTTAATTTTAATTGTATTTTATATATAATTTAGATTTTATTCTGTTTATAATATTATTATGATTTTTTTATTCCGTTTATAAATTGATTTATTACTATTTTAATTTTTATATATAAATTGAGTATATATAATATTAGTTTTAGTTTTATTTTGTTTATATAGAAGAAACAAGAAAAATATTTAAAAAGACAAACGAGTAATAGATCTGTCTCTGCCTCGATTGTCACCAGGTGATATATGGCACCAAGTTTGTGAATTAACAAAATTTATAGATACCGGAAAAACATGTAGAATTGAAGGATATGGAGTCACACATAATTGGATAAAAAGAAGTATATTTTGAGACCTCCCGTATTGGAAAGATAATTTGTTGCGCCATAATCTTGATGTTATGCATATTGAGAAGAATTTTTTTGATAATGTATTTAACATAGTGATGGATGTTAAAGACAAAACAAAATATAATAAAAAGGCTAGACAGGACATGGAAATTTGGTGTAACCGGAAAGAGTTGGAGTTGAAGCCTCAACCGAATGGAAATTTATTAAAACTCAAGGCTTGTTTTAGTCTAACTTCCCGAGAAGGTAAAGCTGTTTGTCGATAGTTAAAATATTTGAGAATGTCAGACGGGTATTCTACAAATTTAGCAAGGTGTGCCGACTGTAACACTGGGAAGTTGCATGGTATAAAAATTCATGATTGCCACGTTTTTATGGAACAATTGTTACCAATTGCGTTTGGTTCACTACCCAAACATGTGCTTAATCCACTAACTGAAATTAGTTCATTTTTTAGAGATATTTATGCTCATCTTTAAGAGTGGATGACATCATTAAGTTGGACCTAAATATTCCACTCATTCTCTGTAAGTTGGAACAAGTATTTTCGCTTGGTTTTTTTGACTCCATGGAACATCTACTTGTGCATCTTGCATATGAAGCTTATCTTTGTGGACCTGTTCAATATAAGTGGATGTATCCGTTTGAAAGGTTCATGGGTGATTCAAAGCGATCCGTGAAAAATAAATTTAGAGTTGAAGGATCTATATGTACATATTACTTGCATCGGGAAACATCACATTTTTGCAAAAAGAAATGGTGAGCATTGGCTGACCCAAAAAGAAATGCAATCCACACATGTCCATGTCTTGATCAACTGCGTTGAAGTTAAACCATATCTTGAGTAAGTATACCCCAACTGTTTAATTTTCCTTGCAGTGTTAATATAAAATTTATTGTCTTGAAACTTATTGTGTGTTTCTTTTTAGGTAATTTAACATCGTCTATTTTCATAGTGCCGATGTACAATCAACATCCAGTGTCATTCATGCTCAATTTCCAGCATGGTTCAAGGAGATATTATCTAGCATTGTTCCACTGACTCCAGAAATACTCCATTTGAGAAACTTGTCAGAAGGCCCTATTCAAAGTGCAAATGAATGACACACGTACTTCGTGAACGGATATAAATTTCACATCGAGACATGGACTGAAGGGAAAAAAACCATAAACAATGGTGTATTTGTAAAAGGAGTTACAGATGGCAGTGAAGATGACTTTTATGGCTTTGTTAAACATATCTACAAGTTGGTATACAATTACTTGGACTCAAAATAAAGTTGTCTTGTTTTATTGTAAATGGTATGATCCAACTAAAGGCACGAAAATAGATAAGTCATATGGTACTTTTAGATTCAAATGGATCAGAGGTACAAAGAGTATGACCCTTTCATAATGTCACATATTGTTAGACAAGTTTATTATGTTCTTTATCCTTCATTTGTACCATGTAAACGAGGATGGTGTGTTGTAATAAAAACAAAACTGTTGGGTCATATTGAAACTGGCGATCTAGTGGAAGATGTTGCTTACCAAGTTGATGAAGTTGAGCAAATGAATGATGTGATTGTAGATGATAAAATTACAAGTTTGTCTGATACAATGGTTGAGGGACATCAATTTGATGCGTCTATATTGTTGGTTGATAATAATATGGACAAAGAGCATGATGAAGAGTTTGGATCCGAGGATAATATCACATCAGATGATGAGAATGATATGGATGACGAGCATGAAGATTTAGAATAATGAACTATTTATTGAATGTGTTAATGAATATGTATTGATGAGAATGTATTTTTCAAATTTGTTATTTTTGCTGATGAATATATATATATATATATATATATATATATATATATATATATATATATATATATATATATATATATATATATATATATATATATATATATATATATATATATATATATATATATATATATATATATATATATATATATATATATATATATATATATATATTAATTGTGTATTCTATATAAATAGGTAAAATTCCACCTCGAATTGATAAGAGTAAGGATAGTGGTAAGAAGTCCCAACATCCGAGATTAATAACATGTGAGGCACCTCAGTCGGCCACGTGTCCTCCTCCGCAAAGTCAGATTGATGCTATGTCCATGGGCAATACTCAGCCTTTTATGTCATTACTCTCCTCTCAGAATATGCCATTCCCATTTGGAGTTCATCTTTTATTAGCCCGTATGGGGTACCATCTTTTACTAGGCCACCTGGTTTTCTTTTCCAGTAAACCTAGAAGCTCCCATCATTCCAGCATATTGGAGGATCCAGTTTTTCACATCCCACATAGATGCCCTTATCCTTCCAGCTGACTAGAGGATCCAGCACTCCACATCCCTCACAGATGCCCTTATCCTTCCACCAGACTAGAGGATTCATCACCCCACATCCCACACAGTTGCCCTTATCCTTCCAACAGACTGGAGGATCCAACATCCCACATCCCACACAGACTGGAGGATCCTGCACCCCACATCCCACACAGACTGGAGGATCCCGCACCCCACATCCCACACATATACCTGCACGTGAGAATGATCATGTGTAGTCAGATGATGATGACGATGATGTGGATGGGAATGATGATGTGTTGGATAGATATGATCTTCGAGGGAATGATGATACAAATGAGATTCATGTCATTGATAGGAGATTTTGAATTTGGCTCAAAGGAAGCTCGTAAGTTTCTTATTTATAAATTTTTATTTAAGTATATATTTTCATTTTTAATATAAATTTATATTTAATATTGTCAATTCAAATTATTGTTGTTTAGTTTCTCGCCGAGCCAGACTGCTGCCAAAGTTATAAATTATATAATTTAGCAGATGTATAAACAATTTTAGAAAACCTTCAAAGTCGTTAAAAATAAAGAAGTTTGATTTAACAAATTTAAGGTATAATTAATTTATTTTTTAGTTATTGTTATTTAAATGAATTTTTCATTATAATTATCTAACTATTTATTTCAATGTCATACAACATTGTGGGAAAATGTGTGCGGGATCTATTGAACGAGAAGCTGGTTAAAAAATATTATGGCAGAACCTCAAGACGATTTTCTGACATAATGCGGCGTGTTAGAGAGCATTAAGAACTTCAGGATATTTGAAAATTTTAAGGCTAAATATGAAAATTTTAAGAAGATGAGGACATTTGAAAAGGGGAATTACGTTAATGCATTTGGAAGTATAAGTACCGCAGAGCATGTTCGACGCATGGTAAATAT